GTTTTTAAAGTGCGCGCTTTTAAAGTTTGAATGTTAATAGTATTTTTAATTATTTCTTTAATAATTACTCGTATACAAAAATAGTTTTAAAATGGCATATCAAGACACACATTCTCAAACGAAGAAAGTTATTTTTCATGTTTATAATTATTTCAAAACATTGGCTGGTGACAAAGGTAAGCCAGAAATTATAGTCCGCGACAGGAAAAGTGGCCCCTGCCCGCCACGAACCTAGCGGCCGTTTCGCCTCAGTGGTGCGTAACGTAACTAAACTTATTGCCGCGTTTTTTTGAATTAATAATTAATTTACTGAAAATACTTACAATATTTTATAAACCAATAATTTGTATATTCAAACCAAACAAAAAACATTAAAAAATTAAAACAAATAATACAAATAATACAAATATTTTATTCTCTGTTTCCTTCGTCCATCATCTTGATCGTCGTCGTCACTCCAGTCACTGTCATCCGGAAGTATGGTTAGAATTATCGGTTCGATCATGGTGTCTCGCATAATTTCTTTTTTGTTGTCTTCAATTTGAATTTCTTCTGCATGACGGACGCATTTCTTCCAATCATCTACTGTCACTGCATCCAATGCCTCATGTGTTAGACGTTCAATGTCAACCATTTTAAATGTGTTGTTTTTTTTCGCCACTTCACCCTTCACCTGAGCCCAAATTAACTCTATCGGATTATATTTGCAATGGTAAGGTGGTAGACGGATTACCTCATGACCCTTTTCCAACGCGATTTCATCCAGCTCGTATTTTTTTTCTCGTGGCATTAGGTACTTTACTTTTTGACGAAGTTCCGGTAATGTTTCTAATGGATGAAATTCAACGTTTTTATCCGTTAACCATTGTTGGACGTCGGCTTTTCTCCAATTACTTTTGGGGTATGATTCTTTGAGAGCAGAATGATATGGTGCATTGTCCATTACAATAACGGATGGCTCTTCAAGGTTATTCAGCAATTGAATAAACCACTGCTTGAACACTTCACCATTCATTTGGTCGTGGTAATCGATTGTATTTCCGCTGTTACTACGAAACACCAATTTCGACCCTTCAATGAACCCGTATCGAGCACATCCTGCGTGACATACAATAAGCCGACCTCCTTTTCCAGTTGGTACCTTTAGACCCATCGAATTGTGTTCATTTTGCCAAATAAGAGTGCGTGAATGATTTTGGTTTACCCACGTTTCGTCGAGGTAAACAACAGGGCGATCGTCTTTTTTTTCTCGCAGCATACTCATCTGCCTTAAAAATTTACACCGAAGCGCGACGATATCGTTCCTCTCCATTAAAAACAAACGACCATCGTTGCATTTTTTGTAGCTAAATTTTAAATTTTTAAGGAGCCTTTGCATCGATCGAACACACCCGGTATAATTTGTTTTTTTTCTTACAGCATTGAGTATTAATTGAGCAGTTGGGTACTCACCCCGGTCATAAAACTCGTAGACAGTCCTCCTCACAATATCGGAATCAAAATCATCAAGCTCTGAAACCGTTTTTGCGCGTTTGTATCCTTTACGCGGAGAAATAAACTTAGGACTCGCATCTGGTGTTTCTGGATCATCACTTTTTCTTGCTTCAGCACAAATTCGTTTTACAGTACGATGAGATATTCCACAAGCTTGGGCTGTAATGACTTGAGCACTTTTAAAAAAATCAGCCGTTAAATCTGATTTCTCTGACAGTTGTTTTAAAAATATATACACACTATAAATAATTTTTTTACTCTGGCTATGAATATCTTTATCGACAAACGACATTTTTAAATAATTTATACACTAACGTTAAATGGTTACGGAGGAGAAAAAGTAGCGTAAAAAATTGTTGTTTACGAACTGACAGTGAACAACAGACAAAACGATATAACACGAGGGTCATAGGGTCTGTACTCTGTATGTATTATGTGCATCACTGTATCCCTACCACAGTACGTTTTGCAGCTGTCTTCCAGACACTCCAGTAGAAACTGGTTTTTTAGTCTATATAGTCTGGACAGCTGTAATACGTAGATAGCCGGTAAGGTGCCCCAAAAAAACAAATCAACTATGTTTCTTTTTATATTTGTAAAATGTGTATTATACAAGTGCCGCAGCCACGCAGTATGCAGCAAATGTTGAGAACCAATGGCTCACGGGTGGGGAAGCAGCAACGGGTCGCGGTACACAGGGGCCACTTTTCATGTCGCGGACTATAGTAATTTTTTTCGTCAAACTCGTGAAATGACTGCTGAAGCGTGTGGCGTAAGTCTTGTTTGTGTTAAACGAGTTTGTGCTGAAGGGAAAAAATTGTCTGTGGGTGAAAATCAACTAGCTGCCGAACCTTCTTCATTTAAGTCTCCAAGGAAATCTTATAAACGTGCCAAACCTATGACCAACTTAGACGATTTTGACAATGAAGTTGTCAGAAGAACAGTTCATAGTTTTTATGATAATGGTCAGTATCCAACTAGTGCAAAAATATTGAGAGCGTTGCATGAAAAAATTAATTATTCGGGTTCACAATGGTCCGTGCGACATATTTTGCGTAGTTTAAATTTCAAATACAAAAAATGTAATGATGGGCGTAAATTTCTAATGGAAAGAAATGATATTTGTTCTCGGGTTAAGTTTTAGAGAAAAATGAACGAGTTCAGACGTAATAACGATACAAGGCCAATAGTTTACTTAGACGAAACATGGGTAAACCAAAATCATACGCGAGGACACATATGGCAAAACTCCGACAACACCGAAGGATTAAAAGTACCTATTGGAAAGGGCGGTCGGCTTATTGTGTGTCATGCTGGGTCACCTTCATTTGGTTTTGTCAAAAATTCAAAACTGGTTTTTCGTTGCAAGTCGGGATCGCAGGCAGACTATCATTCTCAAATGAACGCCACCATTTTTCAAAAATGGTTTATAGATATGTTGGGCAATTTAGAAGAACCTTGTATAATTGTAATGGACAATGCCTCATACCATTCTACCTTAACAGAAGAATATCCTAAGGCAAATACTCGAAAGGCAGATGTACAAAAATGGTTACAAGACAAATCTGTAGACTTTTCTCCAGTAGAGACATTAAGCGAACTACGGGAAAAAGTCAAATTGACGATTCCAAAAGAAAAAAAATATAAATTGGACGAAATTGCACTTCAAATGGGCCATGAAGTGGTAAGACTTCCTCCTTACCACTGCCAATATAACCCAATCGAATTAATCTGGGCGCAAGTTAAGGGTAAAGTCGCGGAAAAAAATAACACCTTCAAAATGGCAGATATAGAAGTGTTAGTAAATAGTGCTTTAGATGCAGTCACAGCAGAAGATTGGGCAAAATGTGGCGACCACTACGATAAAATTCAAGAAGACGATTTGGTGAAAGAAGGATTAAGAGATGAAATTTTGGAGCCTATTATAATGACAATTAATCCCGACGACAGTTCTACTGACGAAGACGATGATGAAGACGATATGATTAATTAAAAAAAAAATGTATTATAATATGTATTAATCGTGTTATTTGTATTTTATGTATTACTTGTGTTATTTGTATTTTATTTTTATTTTTTATTATAATTTATTAAAAAAATCTACATTACGTCGTTTGAAATTACTTTATAGGCGGGAAAACAGTAAGAATAGGCGGAGTAACCCTGACGAAAAATAGCTGCTTGGCGCGCGACGATCGCGGCTCACTTTTCGCCTCGCGTACTATAGTGATGGGCGCAACCGATTGGAGAATATCGAATTATTCGATAGTTTTCAACAATTAGTCATTGGACCAATCGATAAAATATTCGATTGAAAATTCGACTGAAAATAAACGATTGAAAATTCGACTATTTCGACTGAAAATAAACGATTGAATATTCGATTGAAAATTTCGACTGAAAATAAACGATTGAAAATTCGACAGAAATTCGATCAAAGTGATAAACATTGAAAACCACAGTCCACAGATAATATTATACAAGGTGATTTTTTTTATCATTGAAACCTCATTATTTCAAAAAGTATTAATATTTAAGAAAATATTTTTTTACATAGTTTCAAGTTGTAAAAAACAATATTTTTATTAAAAAAATTATATTTTTAAATATTTTTTATCCTTTTAATTTTTTAAGTTTTTTACTTTTTTGAACGACAACATGTAATTTTAATTTGATATTCAAAAACAGAATATTTTTCTGAGTATTTCGATACATAAAAATTGAATTTAGGGCAATTAGTTTATGAGTTATAAGTATTTAAAGTTTAGATGAGCGGAGTAGAATGGTACGGGGTTACCCCGTGAAATGTTTGTCCACTACTCCGCTCATCTAAACTTTAAATACTTATAACTCATAAACTACTTGCCCTAAATTCAATTTTTATGTATTAAAATACTCAGAAAAATATTCTGTTTTTGAATATCAAATTAAAATTACATGTGGTCATTCAAAAAAGTAAAAAACTTAAAAAATTAAAAGGATAAAAAATATTTAAAAATATAATTTTTTAATAAAAATATTGTTTTTTAACAACTTGAAACTTTATAAAAAAATATTTTCTTAAACATTAATACTTTTGGAATAATGAGTGTTCATTGATAAAAATATCACTCTGTATACTAATATAATATACACTAACCAATATTATTAATGTGTGATATACATATATACATATAAGTGATAGTGCAAAACACTTCGCGGGCTATTTTTGAATCTTTCATACATTGTATGATTATGGTTATATTATTGTTGAATATTATTATTATAAAATGTGAGGTAAATTGATAACATTAATTTGAAAATTAAAAATAAACATTATAATTCTAAAAATATGAAAATATGACGTGATTTTGTTTGTTTATGTTTATATTTAATCTTATTGATTATTCAGATTATTCATTCCATTAACTCTTGTAGTTACTAGTCTTGAAGTATTGTGTCTGTGTGTACTGTGTTTCAGTTTTGCTTTTTTTTTATGAAATAATTTCGATTATAAAAATTGTAAGATGTTTAAAAAAAACCGTTCTTTTGTGTGGGATTATTTTACAAAAAATCCAAACGCTATTGATTCGGCAACTTGTAGAATATGCAAAAAAAGTTACAAAAGAGGCAATAGTACATCTAATCTTATTGATCACCTAAAACGTGATCATATGACAATATTGGAACGTGATGGAATCTTTTCAGTACATCAAACTCATCAAAGAGCATCTACAAATGAGCTACCTAATAACAATGTATCAGGTAAGTACTAACTTTAATATGTACAACTTGCACTTCAATTTTAAATGTTCAATTTTTTGAAAAACCACAAAAATATTGTGCAGCAAAACACATTTATTTTTTATAAAATATTACAGTCACAACTGAGTTAAGTGGGCAATCTGTAGAATCTGTATCGGTTAGTGATCAAAGAATTGTAACAAATGAAACAATCGTCACATCTAAAAGATTGTCTCAGAGTGAACTGCCATCTAAACGACAGAAACAATTAACATTATCAAATAGGTAATATTTATGTACATTAATATGTATAATATTGTATATTATTATTTTATTCATTTAGTTTACAAGTTACAACATATTTATCTACACAAACAATTGAAAAATAATTAGTTATTGGTTTTTATGAATAATTTAATTAATTAATGTAATGTTGTAGACTTCTTATAGAAAAATACTAATTTAATTTATTTCTTATAATTTGTAATATGAGTTTAAATTAACTTTAAATGTGTTAAATTACTCTTTATAACGAATCATTAGATTTGGAGCACCCTCAGATCAACAGGTGCAATATTTTACTACAGCCATAGTAAAGATGATTGCTGAGGATTTACAACCTGTGTCTATAGTAGAAAACACTGGATTCAGAAATTTAGTACAGTTGTTGGATTCTAGGTATTGATTATTTAATTCTTAAATCAAATTTGTTTTATAAAACTATAGGTAATTTTTTTAATTTAATTTAATTATTAGGTACAATATCCCAAATAGACGTACCTTAACTCGTAGTATAATTCCAAATTTATATGAAGAAACACGTACTAAAGTACATTCTTTATTGGCTCAATCAAAATATGTATCTATTACAACAGACATATGGACATCTATCAATACCGACTCCTTTATTACTATAACTGCACATTTTGTTCAAGGTGATAGACTTAATACTGTAGTTTTGTGCACAAAAAAACTTTTGAACAATCATACAGGGGAAAATTTGGCAGAAGTATTGTTGACTGAATTTAATAAATGGGACATACAAAGTAAGATAGCTGGTATAGTTACGGATGGTGGTAGTAATATTAAAGCAGCTGTAAGATTAATGAATTTACCTCATATTCCATGTACAGCTCATAAGCTAAATTTAATTGTAAGTCAAGCATTGATGACTAATATTGATTATGATGATCAAGTTTCCTTTGAAGATAATGATGCGGACCAGATAAAGTTTCTTTTAAAAAAATGCAGAAGTATAGTAGGTTTTTTTAAAAGAAGTGAAGTTGGAAATAGACATCTTGTTGAAAAGCAGAAACAACTAGGGATGACAAATACTTTGAAATTGAAACAAGATGTCAGGACTAGATGGAACAGTACATTAGTTATGTTAGAAAGATTATTTAAATTGAAAGAACCTGTTACCATAGTCCTAATGTCATTACTCATTAAGAGATGGAAATCCAATCTAACTCCAAGTCAATGGGATGTTGTAGAAGATATAATTCCTTTATTGCAACCATTTGATAAAATGACTGTAGAACTATCGTATGAAAAGGCTCCAACTATGTCCAAAGTAATACCATTAGTAAGAGGTACATATTCTATTTAAATTTTCTAAAACAGAATATCATGATTAATATAATTTATTATAATTTTATAATATGAAATTAAAACCTATACTTTTTAACAATTATTTAAAATGTATTAGACATTAACAATACAATATTTTTAGTATTTTTAAAATTTATATTTTCCATTTCAATATTGATGTTTACATTTAGGATTACAGAACACATTATCAAAAAAAAACCCAAGAACAAGTCAAGGGAAGTTTCTTCGGGAGCAATTATTGAACAATGTGAGAAATCGTTTTCAGTCACTTGAAAAATTATTGCCAATACCTTACTATGCTAATGCAGCATTCCTAGATCCCAGAAGTAAAAAGGCATGTTTCACAAATCAGCAAAATGCTAATGATGCTGAAGCTTGAATCATTTCAGAAATTGTTGGTTTAGTCCAAAATCAAACAACTGGTAAAAACTATATGAATAACCAATTAAAAAATGTCTCCAAAAAAGTAAAAATGAATTACCTAATATATTTTAATTAAAATAAATTTAAAATTTATTTTAGTTCTTGATGAAGCTGTTGATGAAGCTGAAGTAAATGAGTCTGAATCTGAAGAAAGTCTTTGGAGTTTCCTAACTGAAAAAGTTAATTCGATTCAGAGTCAAACAACTAATAGGAGCAATGCTATCATCTTGGTGAAGCAATATTTAGAAATGCCATACCAGAATCTCAGCTGTAATTTGATCCAGTATTGGCAGCATCATAAGGATGTTTTAAGTCCTCTTAGTGATATTGCATTGAAATATGCAACAATCCCTGCAACATCGGTGCCATCCGAAAGAATTTTTTCAAAAACTGGCCAAATAATGAGTGAAAGAAGAAATCGTTTATTGACAGACAATTTAGACAAACTAATTTTTCTAAATAAAAATATGAATGTTGAATAATATTAATATTAATAATTTTATACATTTTTATAAAGTTCCATAAGTGCTTTATTAATTAATAATTATATCAACGTAAGTTATTGTTTAAACTTAAATTTACTTGTTGTCAAACTAATTATTTTAAATTAAAATTCACAACATTAAAAAGTTAATCAGTTCGTTTGCGAATGTTATTAGACTCAGCTGTCTAAAATTCTCCAATGCAAAGTGATCAAGCTTCAAGAAATGATAGCAGAACTAATAAATAATAATTCAACAACATTAAAGGGCATACAATTAACATGTAATTAATTAAATACACTCAATAAAAAATGTCACAATAAACTTAAATCTAGCAAACAGCAAGTAAATTCTCTAATCACATAGTTTTCTAAAGTAAAATAATTTAATTTAATGTAAATATGGCTCCATATTCTAAGTCCAACTGTAAAATTAATAACCTTTTATTTTGAGTGGGAAGCAATATGTTGGTCAGTTAAGTTAGGTCTTAATGATTGTAAATACTATTTACATGAAGAAGTTTAAATAAGTATAGATTAAAATTCACCTTAACAACGCATGTTTAAACCTATACAAAATAATAACAATTATCGATATTATCAATGTTAGGTACATTATCAAATTGTCAGTCGATAGTTCAATTATCGAATTATCACTTATCAGTCGGTAGCACGATTAAAGATATACAGGTTACTCAACGAAACTTATTTTTTGGTGCGCTTAAAATTTACGATCCTGTCATAGCAAGAATAACAGTTAGCGCTTCTGCATTATAGTGATTTCTCTTGGTACTACAAAATACATCAACAGACAACAACAACTATCAAATGTCAAATGTCAATACTCAATAGTAAAATATTATACATATTTCCATTAGGCTGTGTTAGAAATCCTCTAGTTTTCATTTCAACAAGTTCAGATTTAAAAGTGTTTATTTCTGAATTATTATTTTTTAATCCACTGATACATAATGTGCACTTATGTTAGTAAATAGTAATTTATATTATATACATGCCTTTGCTTAAAATCAACTGTTTTTCTAAATACCTTTGGCTACAGTTATTAAATATATTTAAAGTAAAAAATGTTACAGCAACTGGAAAATTACTATCAACCATCGAAATATCAAAAAACCATCCTTTTGGCAGAGTAATGGAGCCAATTTGACTCAGCACTGAATCAAATAATGATTCGTCTTGTACTATAACTTCATGTACCCTTTCAATGTTACTTTCAATACCTTCTGTAACCTAAGAATCAACAAATTTCCAAGTTTGTTTAATTTGTTTGTACCTATGCCCTATAAAGCTGTAGTTATATACAACTGAAAAACAAACCATCAAAACACAAGTTCTCTTAGCATCAGGATACTGAAATTCTTCAGGAATAATTTTTTTTTTAATAAACTATAGTTATGGTCATGAGTAACTACACTGTTTGACGTTGTATCTACTAACTAGTAAGAGTTTAAAAAAGATATACCACTGTTAATTTCCATTTAAGAGAACTTATAACTTATAAGTATTCACTAAAATAACTAACTTTCTCATGATCGCTATTATTTATGTTAGTTGGTACAGCTCTAGTTTTCAGCCTTGGTTTTTTTAAACAAATCTAGTCACAAATATATAAGAAATATACTTAATTCTAAATAAAATAATTTAATTAAGGTATTTTAAAACTCACAGAGTATTTATTTTTGCCATTTCCAGACACCCAAGTATTAATTATGTCGCTACTTTTAAAATGTTTAGCACACACTCTAGAGACACTGGTTAGTTGTGTACCTAAAGATTTTTCCCATACAGCAATATCTTTAATAGGGACGACAAATTTTGTTTTGGAACTCTCGTGACATCCATTTACACAGCATTTATTTGACACCATAATAACGTTTTTAAATAGATACAAGAGAATTATGAAATATCTTTTACTTTCTAAATAATAAACATAAATGTTGGCATAGGATATAGGAATCAGGAAGAGTATAATAAAAATAAACATTTATATCTGATAAATACAAAATGTATATTTATATAATTATATAAATAATTTATTATAATATATACATAATACATATACATATAATATTTTACATAAAAATTAAAAATTCTAAAGCCCGCCTAAAATATTTGTATGAAAATGTTTAAAATAACAGGCTGTTGGTTGATTTTATCCACGCTTGGAGCGTTAGTAGTTATTCTCGCATAGTTGATCAGCTGTTTAAACCCAACATTTAAGCGCACCACTTTTGATGTGTATGTGCATAGGGTCGTTGAGTAACCTGTATATCTTTAATCGTGGTCGGTAGTATGAATTATCGAATTATCAGTCGGTAGTATGAATTATCGAATTGACAGTCGGTAGCTGCTTACAACATTCGATTGTAATCAAATACTTTCGATTTTTTTTTTGGTAATTGCATCCAATCGTTCTTGTTATTTATTATTCGATTGATCACTCGGTAGTTATTCAAACTATCGATAGACAATCGATAGTCAAAACTAGTCGGTTGTGCCCATCACTAGTCGTAATGGCGTAAGGTGTCGGGGAGGTGGAAGTGGTAGGGTGGTGGCAGGGCTATCCGTGCTAGGCCCCTCTCCAGATCCCGCTCCCCAACATCACGGCCATCGTCAAACGTAAGGATATATATTTATATTTAAAAATAAATCTAATTACATTTCTATATACATTTAACTAAACGAATAATTTTCAGGAGGTCCGTCGGCAACGGTCACGAAGCCGAGCGGCCACGGCACCACCGTCCAAAGATGTAAGTATAGTATATTAGTACGCTCCAGGGGCGGAGTGGGAACCAAATCCAGGCCGGGAGTTTAAAATTTATCCACCAAAATTTTTTTTCTCTGTAAGTTCGAATTTGGTTTTTCTATTTACCTAGGTATTTCAAAACTATTTATAGTATTTTAAAAGTATTTCAATCACTATCTTGCTATATCTTTTAACTTCTGTCTTCTAACACATTACATTAATATACCACTAAGTACTTATACCTGAAAGTCTGAAAAATAAAATTAGTAGGTATGGTTTAATAGTTGAAATCAACGAAATATTAATAATTATATTAAACATTGTGTTTTAATTGTTTAGGTTTAGTAGATATAAGGTAATAAGTAATAGATAAATACATACATTGTAAACAATATATTATAATAAAAAAGATTTATACATTCATAGTAATAATTTAGATAATAGCTTAGATTTCTCACCAACTGCAGCATTTTAATTTATGATAATATTGTTATCTATTTCCATGAGAATTTTATTTTCAATGACCATTAACATAAAAGACTCAAGGTAATCATTGGTCATTGAATTTCTCAGCCTGTTTTATAAATACTTCAATGTTTAAAATGGGTGTTTTATTATAAAAATAACCGACCTATATCAATATTATATTGCTTTGATTTTATTTTATGTATATATTTATGTACCAAATATTTTGTAATTTTATATCCAAAGCCTTATCATAAGAGTATACAATTGTACGAGGCTATCCCAATGTACTATTATTGCATTAATAGTATTTGTAATACAATAATTTAATAGAAACAAATTTTTGACGCATATAGCATTAACTAATATTTTGTAAATTAAATTAAATTAAAAAAAAATCTAACAAAATGGCCAGGCCACCAGGCCATCTGGAAAATTCTCATTTCCAGACCGGCCACTCCGCCCCTGGTATGCACTTTAAAGATATATTAGTAAAAAAATAATCTAGTTTTCAAAATTGATAAATCTAATTAAACAAATTATTTTCAAGAGCAGCTGTACGTCACCGCCTGCGAGACGCCGCCGCCAAATGTCGTAAGGATATATTTATATAATATTTAAATGTTTGATATTGATAATTCTAATTTAACACATCATTTTCAGCCAATTATACCTATTTGAAAACCAGAGATTTGTTGCTAAAAATTTTTGAAAAAAACCAGACCAGCTTCAAGTTATACTAAATGAATTAAATTTAGCTATGGAAACAAAAACTTCGAATTTAACCAAAAACTATTTAAAAAACTATCTTAATTTTAATAATCAAAATTCAATTATTTTACTATGGAATGGTAGTTCAGACAAAAATATTTTACCGAGATTAGGTTTTAATACCCATATAATGTTGAATATGACTGCATATGATACTGATAATAATAAAATATTTTAAAAGTAATGAAATTAAACCATAAATTAGGTAAAATAGGTAATAGCTAAAAATGGTAGATTATTATCTTTGAAAGAAACTCATAATTATAATTTGTAAACAAAACCATAATATAACTTGTATACATGATGCAGTTAATGATGTAAAATTAACAAAATGTATTTTCAATTATTTATGTTTAAAAAACAATTATCATCATATATTAAGTAAAATAATTAATTATCATTAAAAATATATAATAACTTAGTACTGCAACATTTAAATAACATAACTTAACTATTTTAAATCATATTATAATTTGTAATTAGATTAAGACTTGTAATAATACTTCATATTATGCTGAAACATTTAATTTTGAATAAATAAAAAAAAACCTTTATTTTTATTTATTTTTTTAATAACAGTAAAATTCAGCAAAATTTAGTAACAAAAAAACACGCATGAACGTAATTGGAAGCGGACTCATTCAGATAAATCGGTTTAAAAAATGTTCAAAAACGTATGTCTTAAAAAATGATTATAACTTTATAGACTTTATCAAATTTTTTGACTACGGTTTTGATATGATAGTTTGTAAATTAAAAAAAATGACACAGCAATCAAGTATTAAATTTAACTTGTATCTCGACTGTGTTCACGTGCATGTGTTAACACAGGAACGTCGAGATATTTCATTTAAAACCGAATATATGTCGGCATTTACAAATTCAAATTTCGAAAATTTATTTAAAAAAATGTTTAATAAACTTATTAATTAAGAATCTGACTTTGTCACCAGAGGAAGTGGCTGGAGTTTAGGCTCAATTGATGTCTTAAGCTGGCTACACACGGAACGGTTTAGCCGCGCGCGGTCGTGGTTTAAATTCGCAGCGGATAACCGCCCAAGATTAAACATGGGTTATTCAATTGGCATATTCATACGGGCAAAACCGCGCCGCTGGTCTGCGCGGACGACCGCCTGTGTCCGCTCTTGTTTAAATTTCCAGCGGTCGACAGCTATCGCTCGCTAAAATTAAACTGTGTATTCTTAATGGACATACGCACATGGAGCGTATTGTCCGCGGCGGACCGCGGACGTGATTATGATTGAACGGGTTAATTTTATTTAAAAAATCATGATTGAAGTTTGGCTTATTCTAGTGATGTGCCCAGAACCATTTTTTTCAAAGCTAGGTTCAAAATTATTGTATTCAACCTTCTATTATTTAAAAGCCTATACTGATCCAGGCTAAGAGCGCACCGAGCGGCGAACGAAAACCGGTTGAAGCTAGCGCATGCATCCCCACCACAAGCAGCGTTGCTGACCACTTCGTTTATACAGCGTGAATTGTATTGTCACTACGTTTTAAATGTATTAAGCGTTAACGTTTTGTTGTACACGCGCCTACATTTTTTGTTGTTAATTTGATTTGCAATTTGCGTGTTTTTATTAATTATTATGGACAATGCGGCAGTTGTTTCTCCAATAAGGAAAAATCCATGCGGAAAGGTTAGTACCTAAAATCAATTTATTATATTAATTGAAAAAACATGTAATAAACATATTTTATCAATTTTTTTTGTATTTTTATTTTTTTTTAAATTCAATAGTATATATTATACAAATTTCTAATGCAACTGATTTATTTATTATGCGTACCAATGATACATATTCTTGTGGCTGCCAGCGGCCTCATGGCAGCTAACGTATTAACAGATGAAATAAATTATATACATTATTTAACATAGTTTTTATATATTTTATTCCAGCCTGTTTCATCTGATAAACGGATCATGATAGTTAACGCATATAAATCAGAATTGATGAAAAATCCAAACATAACACTTCGAGATTGTCGTATCGTTATTTCGAAAAACCTTGGTATCGGGCAAAGGACGGTTTCAAACGTGATTAGCGAGTACAATACCATAAAGACTGTGACTTCTCCATGCAAAACTCGACAAAAAAAACCTATAAAGATCTATATGATGATCTACAACTTAATACAATTCGTCGACATGTCCATTCCTTTTGGTTTAACAAGACTATTCCGACACTAGATAAGATACTAACAGTTATAAAGAACGACGACAGTCTACCAAATATTTCACGTTCAAACCTACATAATCTTTTAAAATGTATGGATTTCGTCTACACAAAACGAAGTCGGAATAGTGCTCTTATCGAAAAGGACGAAATTATTTTGTGGCGTAGACGATATTTGCAGAATATTAAAAAATATCGTGAAGAAGGACGGCATTTGTACTATCTGGATGAGACATGGGTGAACGCAGGTGACTGTACAAGCAAGACCTGGGTAGATAATACAATTAAATCGTACCGTCACGCATTTGTACAAGGTCTCACGACAGGCTCACAAAATCCATCTGGTAAGGGCAAGAGGCTCATTGTTCTCCACATCGGGTCGGAAGACGGTTTTGTACCTGGTGGGCTATTGTGTTTCGAAGCAAAAAAAACCAATACTGACTATAATGAGGAGATGAATGGTAACACATTTTTCAAGTGGATGGAAAGCATAATACACCGACTCAAGGAGAACTGTGTCATTATAATGGACAACGCCCCATATCATTCGGTGAAGTGTGAAAAAATTCCAAATAAATCAACTCGCAAAGGCGATATAATTAAATGGTTAGAGGAAAAGGGCGAAGTGATTGATAGGCCAATGGTAATTACCGAGTTATTAGAAATAGTTAACCGAATTAAACCAATGCACGACAAGTATGCTATAGATGAGCTGGTCAAAACTCACAACCGTACTATTTTAAGACTCCCGCCATATCACTGTGAGTTGAATCCTATTGAACTGGCTTGGTCTTCAGTCAAAAATCACGTTAAAATGAACAACACCACCTACAAATTAAGTAACGTAAAACAATTGTTGATGGAAGGCATTGAAAAAGTTGACGACACCATGTGGAAAAATTTCATTTCTCACACAACATCAGTGGAAGACAAGTTTTATGAGGTTGACTTCCTCATTGACGAAGTGTTGAGCGCAGAATTACAACCCACAGTACTGACCTTAGGGAATACGTCTTCGGATTCTGAAGAATCAAATTAGTAAAATTAATTAATTTTTAAATTTTTTATATTTTTAACGTATTATTAATAATTTGAATGAATACAACAAAACAAATGTCTACTTAACAAATGTTGTTCTTTATATCTGTATCTATCCCAACCTATCTATAAATTGTATGGTATATATACCGGTAGGTATATGAAAAATAATATATGTAAAGAGTGGAAACGTTTTTGTATACACGCATTTTTGGTATGTACGTTATTATTACAGTATAATACACGCTGTTAATTCAATTCCCTGTAGAATCGGCGGCAGCGGCGACGATTGTGCCGTCGTCGACAGCCGACGAATGGCGACCAATCACAGAGCAATTATACTCAGCCATGGGGTCCGGACGTCGTTCCACGATTCATTACGATGCGCCAAAGTGGTGCGCTCTTAGCCTGGATAGAGTACTTTTTTTTTTATAGGAACTTGGTACCTACAAATGTGGATGGGCGCAGGCTAACCCCCTGTAGACCTGACCGCAAAAATCGTAAATTTATTGCTCCAATTTGACATTTTTACGATATTTACAGTTTTAAAAACTATTCAATAATAATCAAGAGTATATTTTTTACATAAGTTTAAACATCATGCCAAGTTGACACAAGCCGAAGCAGGTACGTTGAAACCAGTCGACTCTCGAATTCAGCTACGGATACTCCCTTGATATTTGAGTGACACTATTCTGTCGGCAATAATACCTACTTACAAGTATTATAATTAGAGCTCGGAACTTAATGCACTTATGCGCATATAATGTTACAAATATGCTTTAAAAATAAGCACTTTTTTTTTAACTCACAATTTTCATAAATATAAATATTTTAATAAAAATATTTTTATATCTTATAATCTGTACTAAATATTTACTAATAAAAACGGGAAATTGTATGTCAACGAAGGATTTAAAATACACGATACTCCAATACCTAATGAAAACTCTCAAAATTATTAATATACATTATAAAGTATTTTATTTTTTTTTGATATTGTCAAATTTTCAAATTGTATTATATACATAAAGCATATCTTTATTTTTCAAAGCATAGCTCTATAAAATAGTATAATTGAAAAATATTCTATTAAAACTACAAAGCACAAAGCACAAAATATGCAAAGATATGCACAATACACTTTTTATATTTTGTTCGTAGTGTCATGAAATTAATTTCAAGTTTACTTAGCAATAAATCTAATAGCCAAAAAAACCATGCAAATTCAACAATTTCCGAACCTTGGTTATAATTAACGACAACTTTTAGGAAGGTGGAAACTAATTTAATGAATATTAGAATTTTAGAATATCTATTGTGGTTATGAATTATAATTATTATGTATTTAGAGGAAAAAAGTCATCACGATATGCAGGCAATCCATGTGGGATGGACAAATGTGGCAAATAATTGTGTTGACAATTATAATGAGCTGAACGACAAGTTAAAATTGAAATTAATATAATTATAAAAAAAGGCCTTTATAGTGAATAGTGATTCAAGTTTATTACATAACTATAGTATAATATTATAATAAAAAATAGATCACCCATAATATTTATTCCCGATATTATTTACCAATAATTTTGTTTTGCCAGCTAAGTGCGTGATTTGGGTCATTTTCATACGTCACGAAGTATTCTCTGACATCTTTTACTGGTCTGTGCATTTCTAACACCTACCCTTTCTGCTAAACTTTCCATAGGGTTATTCTGACTGTCTTTATAGTTATTGTCTTCACCGTCTCGGCGTCGTACGAAGTTGTGTAAGACACAGAAGGCTTTCGTTATTGTGACTGCAACAGTGCAACATTTGGGTCAACTAACATACTTGATTGAAATACTCGCCATTCTTTTGACAGTATTCCAAATGTGCATTCTATATATTGACGGGCCCTCGATAATCTATAGTTAAAAATGCTCCTGTTATTATTTAACGTTCTGCCAGGAAACGGTCTTAATAGTGTTTGTGCAACGCAAACGCTTCGTCGGCTACTAAAACAAACGGTTGTGGCACTCCATTTTCATCGCCAGGTAAACATCGATCTGATGGAAAATTGACCATATCCGATTACAATTTTTTACCAAAAGTTGAAGTTTTAAACACATTGCAATCGCTTTCTTTTCCATATGACCCAACATCAATGATTCAAATAAAATATTTCAATTCGAATCACAAATGGCCATAAGAATCAAAGAAAAAAAGTTTTTGTAATTATAATATAGCGATCCACTGTTTTTGGGACACTCGAGCCTTATGTGTCCACCTATAATAAGTTTAATTTCATATAAATATATAATACAGTAAGTTATAAAGATTTGAAATGTATATATATTTTTACCATAACTAAAAATAATAGGAACATTTTCTTAAAATTCGGTAAAATCATGAAGTACATTGTTTTAGTATTTATATAGTAAAACAAATATATGAGACCATGTTATTTTATTTAAATGTAGAAAAATTTCCCTCATTTATTTTTGACGGATAAGATTTTAATGTATCATAAGTCTAATCTAAGTGACTAAATATACAAATAATTATACGTACAGCACCAACAGTATTTGGAAATTGAAGTTTTTTCGTAGAAACCATTACCCAGTTAGTCATTTGTCGTTGGTTCTGCCATTTCCAAAGGTTGTAAAACTTTCCACAAGACATCGCAAGTTTCCTGCACTATTTTTGCTATAGTGGATACTCCTGCCGAAAACTCAAAATGTAAAGCTGTGAAATTTGTTCCAGTTGCCAAGTATCTAAATAAATATTTTGAAAATCCATTTATAAAAAAAACATTTATTAATAGTTATTTATTGATTAAATACATGATTCAGTAAATTAATTTGAATAATACACAGTTTGATAACTATAATTTGTATTTATTTTATTTATGTAGTCCAAGGTATTACGTTATCAATTTAGTTTCTGTTAAATCAATTTTAATATTTTATTCACTCTAATTTTATCACTGTGCACACTTTCCGGTTTCAAAATAATGTTAACTTTTTCCTACTTCGAAATTAGGCTTAAAATCAGGCTTTACGTACAACCCCCGATTTTCTAACTTTGCCTGTAACATATATTTATATACATACTATAGACTTACACATACTTTCACATTACTATTTACTACATTTATAAATAAATAAGTAATATCTCAATTAGATATATGCTTATATAATCACTATATACTTAGCCATTACTATTGTTTTGAATTCATCTCATTTAAATAATTAATATATTCGTTTAAATTAGTAAAAGAACTAAAAGCCAAGTGGAAAAATATTAAAGACGCATACCGAAAAAAGTGCATACATAAATCCGGCCAGGCTGCAAATGGAGATAAACCCTATGGAAACGACCATGGAATGATATATACGATGCGAATATTTTAGAGCTCTCCGGCCGACCATGGAAAACAGAAAGTAATTTACTGATTTTTACTAACATAGTTTACCTTTTTAAATAAATTGTAAATATTATTTTTATATTTTTGTTAAGGACTGAGAGTAACGTTACTGTAGCAGAAGACGACAGAGAAGACAACATAGGCATTTAAAATGAAAATAGTGAAGAAATTAACCCCTTAGCTGATAATAGAATATCTGAGGATGAGTCTCCAGTCGGAACAAAAAAAAAAAAAAGGTTAATGAAAAAAATCAAAATTCTTTTGAAGACCAGCTGATTACTGCCTTGAAAGAACGCCGAGCTCCATAGGATCCAGTGACATCATTTCTGATGTCATTAGCTCCACAAATAAGGAGAATGACAGAAGACCAACAAAACAAAATTTATATTGAATTTTTACAAACAATTCAAAAAGTAAAAATGTCTTATAACTCTGATCAAATCCAACCACAATTTGTTCGCCCATTATTTAATGATGTTACTTTGCAATATTCACATAACAATATCAACTCATACCCAACATACCCATTAAATGTTCACCTACCAGTCACATCACCTTCTACAAATAGAAACATGCCAACATACTACCAACCTTACATTACTGTGCCTCATACTTCATATGTGTCAACTTTTACGGCATCAACTTCTACTAGAGATACCAATATGCAACACACTCCACATACTGTATCTTCTGCTCCTACTCGGGAACCACCCGTTACACCAACAAATACAACAACTTCAGAGCTTATTAACCCATACTATGGAAACTACTATCCAGAAAATACAAATTGACATAAGCAGTATTACTTTTGTTTTATTTAAATTAATTTAGTTATAATACTTAAAGTAAAGTATTATTAATTGTTAAAAATTTCTTTTTTATTTTCATATTTAAATCAACATATAATACTTAAAGTAAAGTATTATTTGTTAGTTAGTCAATTTATTTTTTCATGTTTCATGGTAACCATGTTATACCCATAACTAATTATTATTATTTAATAAAAATGGTTGCATAAATAATATGTTAATGAATATTATTTTGTTATTATTTACCTATTTATAATAGGTACCTAATGAATAATGATATTAATATGAACCATTAGTTAATTATGGTTAATATGTAGTTATTATGTAGTTATTATGTAGTCACCTAAAAGACCGGCAAGAGTGCAAAATAAAACTGTAAAATATATTATTAAATTACTTTATTATTGCAATATGTATGTGTGCTAACCTTAAAGTAATTGTCAGCCTTTCTTCTTTGGAAATTGGGATGCGCATATTCGTTATCTGTTTTGTTACATATGGTCCAATTAATTTAATCTAAAAAAGTATAAGTTGAGGTAGATATAGTATCTCTTATATTATAAAACACAAATAGTCTCCGTTTTTCGCCACCAGGCGCGACGCGACAAATAAGGAATTCCGCGTTTCTTCCATGACGACCAATCATATTACTTCTCGCGCGACGCAGCAAATAAGCAACTCCGCGTTTCTTCCATGACGACCAATCATAATACTTCTCGCGCGTTCGCTAAATTTTCACGTCGCCGCTCGCTTATCTCCCTTTTCGTTATCGACGATTGACGTTAATATTTTCTAATATTATTTTCGAGTTATTCCGTATTTCTATATATTATATATAATATAATAAAAAAGTGCGTGTGCGATTTTTACAAAAATTGTGATATTTCCGTCTCCGTGTGTAAAATATATATAATATGGAAAACGCAATATTCAGAAACGGTTCAAGTGTTATGTAAATGTCATTATTATGAATTTTATTATCGTACCGTTGTGGAAGCCGCCATTCAGCCATTCAGCATTTCAATAATATTAAAAATATAAGTAGTTTGAATGCACGGATTAGGTAGACATTTTTCACGACTATTGCAGTAAATTTAACTATTATAGCTAAGAGTTTTAGTAGGAGCTTGGTGTGTCGATTGTTTATGACGATGTCGTTACATACGTAATGAGGTAAGTAATAATAAGTAAATTCAATACATTTCAATTTTTTAAAACATACATGTTATGTAATATTATTATATTATATACGAGGGGTAATTACAGAAAGTTTGTACACCAGATTACTGATTTAAATGATTATACCTATGATTTCCCATGACTTACTACAAAGATTACCTATGATAACCCATGATTACCCCCAAGGTGTTTACCCCTCGATTATAATATACTAATATTGTGTTACCAAGTTTAATTACTTCAATTCATACCTTATACCTGTACTAACCTTTACATTGGGTTACATGTATTAATTTTTTTGCAATATTTCAAACAAATTTCAAAACAAGAAAACTACATTTACATATTATATGTTATAAAATTATAATAAATTGAATTTAAATTCCTCCAAAGGTGTAAAACTATGCTTAAAATATTGTACTATTTGTCAACATTTTTATTATGTCGGTGGCATGCAAAAATGTATTATACATGATTTATATATATTATATTAATAAATACATAGGTATCATTTATATTCTACTTTTTTAAACTTTATTATAGGACAACTGTATGCAGCGTTTTCCCGAGTGAGGGACTTTCAATCCATAAAATCCATTAGAGTTGCTATGTACAGTGATGGCCGTGGTAGATTCGTCACTAAGAACATTTTGTACAGAGAAATTCTACAAGCGATATAACTGTACAATGAAGTCTACAAGAACTTAATGAACATCGAATCCGATCTGTGTGACACATGGTTTATAAGCAGTCGTAAGTACGACTCGCGGAGGAGAGAAAGTTCGACGATCTCCACTTGGTTCTCTCTGGACGCGGATTTTGTAATGAATACGTAACTGATGTCGAACATGCATTTAACCTGGCTGCGACTCGCACACTAGATGGTAAATTATTTAGAATTATTTATGTACTCTAAAAATATATCAGCAGATATTTGTATGAATTTGTATTATTTCAGAAACATTATACTAGAAATGACTTCATCAATGCAGATGTAGCAGAAACACAACAAAAAGATTCATCATTGTTTCAATACTGATTACTAATTTGCAACTAAACCATACTCTGATAATCATAAGAATTACTACAGCTAACACTTAATTATTATTCATTGTTAATTTGTAACTGATGTAGCACATACACACACACACATATATATATATATATATATGTATATACACTTAAATTGATTAATAGTAAGTTTCATACACAAATTATTATAATTTCAAAAGCATATATTATCTACTATAACCAAGGTTTGTAAGAAATTTTCAATTTTGTTGTATGTACAATATGTTTCATTTCTACGTATTGCAGTCGACACACGATTCAATTAAATTTTTTTAAACATCATTAATAGGGTGGTCCTCCGTTATAGATGAAGTAAAAAAAAATTGCAAAATGTTCAAGTTACCACCCTCAAATAGGTTCAGTTAATTAAAAAAAGCATGAGAAAATTTTTTTAGACGAAATGGTTAACTTTAACCCGTGCCGCAAAAGCTCTAAAGTTTTAATAACGAAAAAATGTTAGAAATCATTAGTTTTTGAATATAATTAATCATAACTCTTAAAAGAATGATTTTACAAAAATTATTTTAAAGACATTAATTGTACCTTATTATTGTTACAACAGTTTTATACTTATACATTTTTTTTTAAATATATTATTATCAAAGATATTTGAGTTTAAATTTTAAAAATAAAAATGTTTAACTATTTTTTGCGTGGCAATAAATAAAATGTTTTTTATATCGTATAATGCGATTTAAATTAACTTAAAATTAATATATATTGTATAATATGGTTTGCATGTGATCCTACACGTTTTAATCTATGATACAAGAGATAATTATAGAATCGTTAGGTGGGTAGTGTACTTAGACCTATACCCGTATTTTGTGATTATTTCAATGGTAATATTTAGGTAATAATGTTAATGAACTTATTGTAAAGCGATCATCGATACGACGCTCTCACATAAAATACCGTAAGCAACGTGCTGAAAAAATACGTCATAACTATAACTTAGGTAAGGAAGACGCAGTTGTTATACACTGGGACGAAAAACTTCTTCCAAATTTAACCGGGAAAGGCTTAGTCGATAGGCTGCCTATAATCGCGTCTGTAAATGATCGTGATCAACTGCTAGAGGTCCGGCGTTAAATAGTGGAACTGGACTTGAACAAGTCAATGCAATATACCAAAAGCTTGTAGATTGGTGTTTAGATGAAAATGTACAAGCACTTTGTTCCGATACTACAGCATCAAATACAGATCGCTTAAATGGAGCTTGTGTTTTGCTTGAGCAACTATTAGAACGCGAAATAGTATATTTACCATGCCGCCATCATATATATGAAATTATATTGAAAAGTGTGTTCGATTTGAAATTTGGTGCAACATCGGGCCCATCTATTTTTGTAACTTTGGAGCTTTTGCGGCACGGGTTACAATTAAAGAATTTGCATGAAACTTTATTTGTATGGTTTTTTCAGGTAACTGAACCTTTTTAGGGGGGGTAATCTCAAAAAAATGAAAAATGAAAAATAAGGACCACCCTAATCATTAAACTACACTATATTGTATGTTTGAATTTGTATTGCTTAACAATGTATTTTATATGTAATAAACATAATGAGGTATGATTAGATATTTTGCCACCGCAAATAATTTTCATTGAAAGAATATTATGCAATTACTGATTAGTAATACCTAATTGATTATACATTATTTGTAATTTAAAAAAGGTGCTCTGCTGTACTGTAGGTTATAAGTGGGTCACTGTATAATGGATGGTATTAAATTTGAATTCAATGATATAATATCATTGTATAAGAAAAACGATTCTGAGTGGAGACGGTATGTCAGTCTAGGTTAAGACATATTATATACATATTACATATATATTGTATTAAAATAAAATTGACCTATAATAAATTCCAAATTAATCATATCACAATATCCATTAGGTACTTACAACGCGTTATAAAAACCGTGATACTATCATAGATATATAATAATACACTTTTGAAGTTTTAAGTACCCACGAAAAATATTATTCAATCACAACAAAAAAACTAAAATAGTTATTCTAGGTTTTAGATTCTGAGCGGAGCGATGAATGTATTGGTTTTACAATGATGTGTGTTTTTATATTTTTATATTTTTATATTTTTTTTTGTGTCTGTCATCACGTTTTGGGACAGTAAAAGTGCTTCGATTTTCTTAAATATTCTTTAATAAGCGTTATACATCAACAACAAACCGTGATACTATCATAGATATATAAATATAATAGTACACTTTAGAAGTTTCAAGTACCTACGAATAATATTATACAATCACAACAAAATAACTAAAATAGTTATTCTAGGTTTTTTCTTTTTTAATATATAATTTCGTCCAAATTTAAATTTAAAATGTCTGTAAAAAATAACTGTGTTCATATATTTTTTAGATTTTTTGGTTACAGTATGAACTATTCATGAGAACCTCTGTTTTAAATTTGCAGTCCTTAGCTATAAAAACTGAACATTTTATAATTTATTAATTACAATGATTGATAATTTTCGAGATTTTGATAAATTTTGTCAAAATTCGATCTTTAAATGCTTATAAAAAGAAATTGTGCAAATGTATTTGAAATATTTTTCAAACTGATATTGTAACAATATATTAGGAGCCTTGTATTAAGTTTTTATACTTTTTGACCCAACAGATAAAACTTTATTGATATTTATAGAAAAAAAAACTAAAAAAATCGAAAACTGAAAATGTCCGTAAACAGCTCAAAAAGAGTCAAA